TTCAGCCAAACGCGCTTGGGATACTTTGGCAGAAAAGTTCAAGCCAAAACCAGGTAAGTCCCCAGTTCAAATCTTGAACCTCAACTAATCTGTGAGAAGTAAATATATATATATAACACCAAATTATACTCTAAACATTTAATTGATTAACCACAAGACTGATCAGTTTACGTTTTGTTCTTTTACATTTTGTATCCGAATAGAAATATATATATCTTTAGCCAAATTACATGTGTAACAATGTGGAAATTAAATCTAACGGTGTCAATTTACCCCTTTGGCTTTATTTATTTATTTATTTTAAAATAGCTAATTTCCCCATAAATCACGAAACTACCCAATTTATACCCCATGCTCATATTCCGAGCAATTCCATTCAAGACTTAATTTGAAAACATATAAACCTGTTTTCCAAATTAGAAAAGCTTTGTATCAACTTTATTCAGCCTACTAAAACAAGGATGATATGATTTTAGTTTAGAGTTGTTATTTTGATATAACAATGGTAAACAGAGAAGCATTAATGTCCAAACATATATATATATACTCGACAGATGCTGCAATTGCTGATCCGTATCAACCTTTCTTCACTGCTGTTAAGCTCGGTGATTGGCGTAAAGCGAAGGAATTTCTTACCCGAGATCCCAATGCAATAAGAGCAACATATTCAACAGGAGGGACAGCTCTTCACATTGCAACCAAGTTCGGACATGAGCATATTGTGGAAGAGTTGGTTCAGTTGATGACACCGGAAGACTTGGAAATTGTGGAAGATGGTAATTGGACAGCTCTTCATCTTGCTGCAAGATTAAATCTCAAAATGGTTGAATGCATAGTTACAAAGAACAAGAAACTACTTGGCTTTGTTGAAGAGTCCGAGGGGCTGACACCAATTCTCCTCGCTGCTAAGAATGACCTATGGGATATCGTTCGTTATCTCTACTCCCTCACTCCGATCCAAGACTTAATGCCAGATAATGGCCCTTATGGCGCTGGACTTGTTTGCAATTGTTTCCATGCCAAACAATTTGGTAAAACTCTCAACCAACCCAGACCCACATTATTTATTTATTTATTTTATACAAGCAATATTGAGGTAGGGGGTCTTGAATACGGGACATTGGGTGCATGGGTAACTGTTCTTAAACACTCGTGCGACATGCCCCTTGCATTATTTACTCATTTATTACTCAAGCTTTTAACTTTCACATAGACCCGGCAATATTGCACACGACCCATTAACACGACACGAATTCGCACGAAATTATCAGTATTTGGGTTGAGCTTATTGGGTCGGGTTGAAAACGGGTGAACCCGTTAGCCACCCGTTAAGCTAACGGGTCGTTTCGGGTCGAAAACGGGTTAACCCGTTACCACCCGTTAAGAAGGTTAATTTTGTAATTTTGCAAAATATTTTTCTTTTCTTTTCTTCTTCCCCTTTTCTTTCTTCTTTCCGTGTCTTTTTCTTCTTACCTTTTGTCTTTTTCTTCTTTCCCCTTTTCCTTTTCTTCTTCCTCTCGTTCTTCTCTTCTGCTCTGTTCTTCTCTTTTTCTCTTTTGCTATCTTTTTGTCAAGATTCTCTTCTGCTCTTCTTCTCTCCACTCAATAGACTCCGCCAACCCAGCCACCAGGGATGACTTCGCCAACCCAGCCACCAGGGATCAAGGAGGAGGTATCTAGGTCGGTCCACAGAGGGTGATTGATTCTAGAGTTGTTGGTTTTGGTTCTCTCAGTTAATTTTGAATTTTCTTTCTTCCTCAATTTATTTAGTTGTTAAGTTTTTAAGATATCTGTGAGAGAGAGATATATACTGTTTTGGGGTGAGAGGACTGAAATGAAGAGGGAAAGAGGGAAGAAAAGTTAGGGTTGGGGTTTGGGGGAAAAAAGACAGAGAAGGCGTGTTGGTAGAGAAGCTGTGATAGTTTTTTTTTTTTTTTTTTTTTTTTTTTTTTTTTTTTTTTAACCCGTTAACGACCCGGAACCCGTTAAAACGACCCGTTTGCCAGCTCTACTTTCACAGTTCCTATTTTCTCTAATATAGATATTGCGTGGGAATTACTTCAGCGTTGCCCACGATTGGTAATTGCTAAAAGTCCGTGGGGACCATCCCCTATATTTGCATTGGCTGATATCCCTTCTGTATTTCTGAGTGGGACGCCGCTCAAATTCTGGGAAAAGTGGATCTATAATGGTTAGTAACACATTCTTTTTTCTCTTGCTACTATCAAATTCACTATATCCCATATATATTTTGCTAAAAGTTCATCTACACCATTAATATATTTTGGGGACCACATCTGCAATTAAGTCTGAAACTCATCACCTACAAGAAAAATAGAAAATATAAAGGAATATAAGCAGCAATCTTGAAGCATATATATCTTCCGAACAGTCTACTTTTCAATAATAAATCAACCTTTGGAAAAAAACCTTCGACAAATCGGAAACCGTTAAGACATCTAGTTGCGACCAACAAAATAGACAGACATGATGCTTTAAGAAAACACTAAAATCATAACCATTCATTGACTAATCAAATGGATTCAGATTCAGTTGATTTTTTGCTGACATGATTTGTGAAGGAATATCTAGAAGTTACGGGCTAAACCTATTTTGGATGTTCAGACCATCTCCAAGGGCTAAACCTATATAATATCCAAGGGTTAAGTTATTTGGATGTTCAAACCATCTCCAACAATATAAATGGGCTAAACCTAAATTTTCACGCTCGTATTATCTGAACACAAACAATTTTTTCCTTAACCTTGCAGACTCAGAATTTGAGTTTGCAACTTGAATTGTTTAATAATGGCTAACCCCCCTTTCTTTTTGCCGTTAAATTTTCCTTGACATTATTTTTGTTTTAAACATTAGTTATTTAATTATCTGAACATTTGAACTTAAAATAATCTAGATTCCAAAACATGTAATTTCACTTAAAATGATTCCGAGTATATATAAAATTATTTTGACCATTGGATGTGATTTTTTTCGGTTGAAATTGCTTAAAAGAATAAATCCTATTAATGATGGTTTCAAAAACTTAAAGAAAAATATAATATATATTAATAACTTGTATGAGATGGAGCAAATTCTGGATTGGACGTCCCTAAATTACCATAGGTTGGTCAACCCTCGGGTACAAGCGGGCGACCACGGCACATCTACACTATTATTGTACATCCTCAATAAAAAGGGTATAATATCTATGCAGACGTTCGGACATTATTACTGTGCAAATACCATGTATTATCTATTATCTCCCCCTACTTTCCTCAATGACATCCGCACAGTATTAATGTGCTTACATCCGAATGAGAGAATAACTTATTACATATATTATTTATGTATATGTTTTGTGGGATTTTTCAGGTGTTCGTATCTTTAACCATCAAAATCAAATTCAAAAAGTATTAGTTAGCACTTTATCAAGTGGTATTTTTCTTTTCAATATTGAATTATATCCCAAGTTTTGGTCTTCCTCCCCTGTTACTATTAACATTTAAACGTATATATGCTTTTGTCCTTGATTCAAAGAGAAATAAAATTTTGGGATCTAAAGCCAGGATTTACGGTCAAAATTCAAAGAGGAAATTAAATTTTACTCGAAAAAAATATTTCAATTATTCGATCACATTACACGGCGGGCCCTACCATAATGGTCCAAATATTTGTTTAAAATCTGTTATCACAAAAGATAATAGTTATTAAAATTGATCTTACATGTCCAAAAATAATATTTATTTATTATATTGACTGAGCTTTGTTCTCTTTTCTTTATAGGTATACACATACAACATCCTCTTGCCATCCCTGATTTTCATGTAAATGTTGAAAATCTAGAAGAGAAACTGGGCAACCAAAATATCAGTTTCTCAGGTTTGCTATATTCTCCTCATCTATTTGATAAGAAGTTGTTCATGACATAGTTTGCCATTTGCTATATTCTCCTCATTTATTTCAAACTGTTTTCAATGATACATCTATTTGATAAGAAGTTGATCATGACATAGTTTGCCACAAAAAGAAATTGGTTCTAGTATGCTCATAAACAAGAACTAAAATCTTAATAAGAAGCTGGGAATCATATAGCAAAGCACATTCGAATTCATACTTTGTATGAACAAGGCATATTTATCTTATGGTAAAGAGGCTGGATTTTGAATTTGCATTGCAGTCTTCGGTTTCACGCAAGGGCCTTCTTCAAGCCTCCGCAAGCTTTTAGGTATATATGCAACATTCTTTTCCATCTTTATTTGTTGGTGTCTTTGCACATTGGTTTTCTCATCCACTTATTTAAACTCTATAACCGTATTTTATTTCTACAAAACCTGGTTGTAACATTTTTTCGAACATCAACCTAGGAATCAACCGCATATGTGAAATGAAATTGATCCATGCTCGATCCCTATATATTTTGGATTACATGTGTGAAGTGGTAAAAGATCTAGACACTCAAGAAATGGAAGATGGCCGTGTCTATGATGCAATATTCAAAGCTGTACAAAGTGGGATTATTGAGTTCGTTTTTCGTTTATGTAAAGTAGATCCGGATATATTGTGGCGAAACAATTCAGAGGGAAGGAACATATTTGACTATTCAATTGAGTGTAGCCAGGAAAAAGTATATAGCCTCATATATGGGGTTGGTCAAAGAAATCTTTTTACGACATTTTCAGATGCTTCTGGAAATGATATGCTACATCTTGCAGGGATGCTATCTCCAACAGAAAAACTTGATCGTATTTCCGGTGCAGCCTTGCAAATGCAGAGAGAAAGACAATGGTTCAAGGTTAGATATCTTCATTCTATATCTTTCTTGTAAATTAATTGTATTTAGAGCTAGTTGTGGGATATTAGTTGCTGGAGTTGTAGCTTGTAAAAGTGGTTGTGGGTTGATAGCTTGTAAAAGTGTTAGAGTTTGTGTTTGTCAGGGTATGAAAATGAAGATTAAAGAATGAAAGCGATGATGAATGAATTGTTCTCCTTCTCTCTGCAGAAAACAGAGAGGACTATATTTTCTCTTAATGGAAAAAATTGAGCACACACACTAGCATTTCATGACCGTTTTGCCTTAGCTGGATCCACACACATCACACTTGATCTTAGCCACACATCTAGCTAATTTATAGGATCACTACACATGGCTATTTTAGCCTTACATCTTTTGACCTTACACTTGGCAGATATGCTCAAGGGACTACACAAATAAACTCATCTTATTTCACTAATACTAATCAGCTATAGACTTATAATTGAACACTCCCCTTTAAGTCTTGAGCTGATTTCACTCCGAGCATACTCCTGAGATAGTTGAAACGATCCTTAGCCAAAGGTTTTGTGAAAATATCTGCTAGCTACTCTTTAGTGGGACAATACACCAAATAAATGATTCCTTCCTGCAGTGCATCCTTAATAAAATGATACCTTCTATCAATGTGGTTGGTCTTCTGATGGAACACAGAATTCTTTGTAATAGCAATGGCAGAAGTGTCAGTGAAGAGGAGTAGCTTCAGTTTGTATTTCTCCAAAATCTTCCAAAACAAACCTCAGCCATATTGCTTGAGCTATGGCTTCTAATGCACTTATATATTCAGCCTCTGCAGTTGAAAGTACAACACAGTTTTGCTTGACCGAAGCCCAAGAAAACACACCACTGCCAAATGCGAATGCATATCCTTATGTGCTTTTGCTGTCCTCCAATGAGCCACCCCAATCACTATCACAGAAGCCAATTAAACAAGCTTTCCTTCCCTTCACATACTCCAGGCCATAATCCAGAGTTCCCTTGATGTATCTGAGTACTCTCTTTGTAGTTCCATAGTGTCTATTGGTAGGACAATGCATAAATCTTGCCAATAAACTTGCTGTATACATTATATCCGGCCTTGTAGCAGTGAGATATAGAAGGCTTCCCACAATGCTTTTATACATTTCCTCACTCGCAGATCCACTTCCATCATCTTTAGATAACTTCTCAGTAGCTACAAGAGGAGTTGTGACAGTCTTTGCTTCATTTAATCTAAATTACTCAATAAAGACCTTGCATACTTCTTTTGGTGAATGAAGATGCTAGAGTTAGCTTGAATCACTCCCATTCCGAGGAAGTGATGAAGGAGTCCCAAATCTGTCATCTCATACTTCATTTTCATATCTTCCTTGAACTCTTCTAGCATTGATTTGCAACTGCCAATGTAGACTATATCATCCACATAGATAGAAACAATCAAGATATCTTCTCCCCTTGCTTTTATATACAGAGTTGGTTCACTCAAGCTCTTCTTGAAACCACACTGTAAGAAATAGTTGTCAATCTCTCCATTCCAGGCTCTTGGAGCTTGTTTTAGACCATAGAGAGCCTTATGAAGCTTGTACACATTTTCCTCCTTGCCTTTGACTACAAAACCTTCAGGCTGCTCAACATAGACCACTTCTTGTAGAACTCCATTCAAGAAGGCCGATTTCACATCTAACTGATACAGTTTCCAGCTCTTTTGTGCAGCCAAGGCTATTAAAGTTCTAATGGTATCCAACCTAGCAACCGGTGCATAAGTCTCATTGTAGTCCAAACCGGGCTTTTGTGCATAGCCCTTTGCAACCAGCCTTGCTTTATTCTTCAACACTTAGCCATCAAGATTTAACTTGGTTTTGTAGCATAGTGAACCAAATACTTTCAGGTGTGCTATTCCTAGTTTTCTTCCTCAATAAGCTTCAAAAGGTGTGATGTTGTTCAAAGCCTTTGTGGGACATCTGTTTAGAATGTACATTGATGTATGCACTGCTTCTACCTAGAGAAAGTATGGCATCCTCTTCTCATGCAACATGGATTTAGCCATCTCAATCACAGTTCTGTTCTTCCTCTCCACTACTCCATTTTGTTGTGGAGTATATGCAAGAGTGAATTGTCTTTGTATTCCTTCCTTTTCACAGAATAGATCGAATTCAGATGACTTGAACTCCCCTCCTCTATCACTTCTCAGACACTTAATCTTGAATCCACTTTGTAACTCGATCATAGCTTTGAATTTTTTTAAACAGTTGAATGCATCAGACTTATATCTTAGAAAATAAACCCAAATCATTCTAGTGAGATCATCTATCAACAACATGAAATACTTATTTCCAGCAATTGACTCATTCTTCATAGGTCCACATAGATCAACATGAATTAGTTCCGGTGGAGCAGTTGCTCTTTGCGCTTAATTTCTTGGAAATTCTTCTCTATGTTGTTTTCCAAATTGGCAACCTTCATAGACTCCATTGTAGTCTTCAAGCTGAGGCAACCCATGCACCATTTCCTTGTCTCTCAATTGTTTGAGACCACCAAAGTGTAAGTGCCCAAGTCTCCTGTGCCAAGTCTCAGTAGAGTGAGTGACACTAGCTTTTAAAACCACTTGGTTCTTAGATAATAAAGCCAATTGATAGCACCTATTTACTTTCTTCTTCACTTTCATAACTAAGCATTCCAGTGATGGACCATCATACACACTGCACATTCCACCATCAAACACCAAGAAATATCCATGCTCATCCATTTGACCTACACTTAGCAAGTTTTCTTTTAAACCAGGCAAATACATTACTTCTCTAACATACTTTCTGCCCTTATTTGTATCAATCACCAATGAGCCCATTCCTGCTACATTCACAAGGTCTCCAGTTGGCATTTGAACTTTGTCTGCTATGTTGGTTCTTACATCAACAAGCAATTCTACATTTCCTATCATGTGATTGCTGCAACCACTATCGATTTACCACCCTCCATTCACCCTTGGTTCTGTAACTGTGCTATTTGCATAAAATAGATTTCCTGTCATCTCCAATTGGTTAGCACTGTTTGCCGTTTGCACTATTTTAGCTGCAGTACATTCTCTAGCCAAGTGACCAAATCTGTCACAATTGTAGCACTTTAGTTTCCCTTTGTATCTACACTCACCAAAATGGTATTTAGAACACACCTTGCACTGAGGCTTTGCAATCTCTTGACCCATTGACTGAGATGCATTCATATTCGGATAAGTGTTCAGAGGAGATTTCTGCTGAAATTTGGGTTTTGATTCCCATTTCTTGCCTTTAGAATTTCAGTTTCCCTGAAATCTGGATGAACCAGAGTGAGCACCACTCTTGTTTTGTTCCTTTGGATTCACAGAGAGTGAAGAGAATGCTTTCTCAGTTGAATCAACAGTATGCAAATCAAACCGTTGTTCTTGGCTCTTCAAAATTGCAACTACCTCCTGCAATTCTACAGTCTCCAAACACTTTGTATTCTCAATGACTAGACATGTGGGATCATATGGTTTACTAAGGCTAATCAGAACTTTCTGCACAAGTCTTTCATTAGACAGAATTTCACCAAATGTTTTCATCTGATTAATCAACTCATTTAGCCTAGTAAGATACCCAGACAAAGTTTCATCATCATGCATTCTAGCATATTCGAATTCACGCCTCAGATTTTGCAATATCACAAATCGTACCTGATCACCACCGTGATTCTCTCCATACAGCAAATCCCATGCCATCTTCGATGATTTAGCATTGGCGATTTGAGGGAAGATTTGATCCAAGACTGCATTCTGAATGATTCCCAGAGCCTTTGCATCTTGCATCAACACAACAGCCATTTCTTCATCTACATCATCCTCTGATGATCCTTCAACCTTCTTCTTCTTAGAATCAGAAGTTTTAACTCCCTTCTCTACCAGATTCCACAACCCATGTGATTTGAAAATCGTCATCATCTTGATTCTCCAGAACTCGCAGTTCTCACCGGAGAAAATTGGAGTTCTCACTTCCGAGCCTCCAGATCCAAACATCTTTGGTCTGAATGGGTTGATTTCTCTTCTCATATGATAATGGGTCTCTGGCAACTTTCACCGAGCTTCAACTCAGCTCAATGAGTTCACAGATTTACGCCCAGGCTCAATTGATCGAACCTGGCTCTGATACCATGTTAGAGTTTGTGTTTGTCTAGGTATGAAAATGAAGAATAAAGAATGAAAGCAATGATGAATGAATTGTTCTCCTTCTCTCTGCAGAAAGCAGAGAGGACTATATTTTCTCTTAATGGAAAAAATTGAGCACACACAGGAGCATTTCATGACCGTTTTGCCTTAGCTGGATCCACACACATCACACTTGATCTTAGCCACACATCTAGCTAATTTGTAGGATCACTACACATGGCTATTTTAGCCTTACATCTTTTGACCTCACACTTGGTAGATATGCTCAAGTGAATACACAAATAAACTCATCTTATTTCACTAATTCTAATCAGACTTATAATTCAACAATTGGGTTGGTAGGGCTTTCTAGTTTAGTTGAGGTGCCATATGGAAAGTGAGGTGGGAACCCTAGATGAGAGGATGGGAAGGTTTTGAGGGTCTGGTTGAATGATTTTGGGAAGGAGGCAGTTTGGACTCATGAAAACATTTTTCTCTGCTACGATCTGCTTGTTTTTATGCTAAACATGTCTTTTAAAATTCATCCAAAGGTTAAAAATGTGACACCACACCCACATATTTCATATGCCAAGAAATACTGTAAGGCATATTTGATAAGGTTAAAATGCTCTTCTGTTTCAAGTTGGGAAACGTAGGTTAAAATTCTAGGTAATATGAAGTAAGTTGCAGGCCCAACCCTTTTTCACGTTTATTATATTAACAGGCGAACAAGAGAAAATTTAAGAGCTCATTTAAAACCAAACCCTAAGGATAAGAAAAAAGAAAACCCATGTTGACGCCCTCTTGTGGGTCGGTGGCCTCCCTCCTTCCCTCCCCTTCCTCCACTCCCCCTCCCAGTTCTTCCACTCAGCTCTCCAGTATTTGTATTTTTGGTTTTGTGGTGTGGAATCAGTTGTTGTCGTGACAGCCGTTGTCTTTTGGCCATGTACCCACAAGGATTATTGGCTCCAGTTCTCAGCGTTTGACATGGGTTTGGAGCCACAAGGCGGGGATGTTGCTGGCCTGCGTAGGGTTCAGGTTTAGCCGGTATGGTGCTATGGCTCTCTTTGATATGTTAGGGAGGATACAGTCAAGTGGCTCTACTTTTTAGTTTGTTTATGTCTAATAATTTTACGAAACTCCTCAGGAGCTTGTTATGTTTTGTTTTCTCTTATTGAAAGGTTTTATTTAATGAAATGCACGAGGTGAGATCCCGACAAACTAATATTTAGTAACTACAAAACTTTGACTTGCCTCATAGAAAAATAGGTAGTAAACAATTAAACAACAGTGAAATCCTGACAAGTTTTATTACGTTGTGGTCAACAATGCTCCTTCTCGTATTTCTTTCATGTGTTATACTTCCATAAAAGCAGTGATTCTAGAGTTAGTTACTTGGTAGCCACAACGAACTTGAGGTTTATTTGTTTAATGAAATGCAGGAGGTGGAAAGTGTTGTAGTTACGCCCTCGGGAGTGGGAGTTTTCAATAAACAGGGTATGACACCCCATGAACTATTTACCCAGAACCATAATAAATTGAAGGAAGAAGGAGAAAAGTGGATGAAAGATACAGCAACTTCTTGTACAGTTGTAGGTGCTCTCACTATTACTATCATGTTTGCTGCAGCCTTCACGGTTCCTGGTGGAAACAATGGAGGAACAGGCTTTCCCTTGTTCTTAGATGAAAATATGTTTATGGTTTTTATAGTTTCAGATGCTATATCACTCTTTTCTTCCACAACTTCAGTGTTGATGTTTTTGGGAATCCTTACCTCACGATATGCAGAAGACGATTTCCTCAAATCCTTACCCACAAAGATGATAATCGGCCTTTCAACACTCTTGATCTCCATCGCTTCCATGATGGTTGCCTTTTGTTCTGCTCTTTTCCTTATGCTTCATGAAAGACTATGGATTGTCATTCCAATCATTTTCCTCGCCGGCGTTCCAGTCACCTTATTTATTTGGATGCAATTTCCCCTTCTTGTTGAGATTTTCATTTCTACATATGGAGGAGGGATATTTGACAAGAAAGTGAGACATTGGATATAAATTCTTGATTGTATATGAAAACTTGTATAACTTTGTATGTATTGTTCTTTAATTTGGAAGATATTGTTGAATAGGACAACCTTTACATCTCTCCCCTCCCTTTCACCCGTCCCTTCTAATGTGATTTTTGAGTGATTGAGCTGTTGGTGTTGTTACGTACCCTCCGTTTGGATGAATGAATTGAAAATTACATAGAATTCTTATACGAAGATGTAGTTTCAGGGTATAAAGGCCTAGTGTGGTAGTTGTTAGATTTTGCAACCTTTGTTCTGGCAGCCCCTTCCTTCCTTACCACAGAGATAGTGCAACTCAGATCAATAGGCATGATATGTCCCCTAAAATATTAATAAATTGTTAAATATCTAATAGCATGAATAAATAAATCAAATAAAAAGCTCTTTCTGTTCAATAATGTAACACACACTTCATTCACGATTAGATAAGAAAAATTGGCATTCGAATGTACATTAATTTTCTCATGGTGTTTACTGTAGTGAACCTCTTCAATGGATTTCGAATGCGTTTTATTAAGCGTTGATGCCCATTAAGGTTTTCTAGTATCACTTTCTTTCTTATTCAAGCTATGTTCACTTAAAATTATCTTGTTTGAAGTTAATTACTGCTTCTCATGCAAAGAAAACATTGATCAATTCTCATGCAATCCAACCCTATCTTTAGTCTCTTTCATATCAAATGATATATATTGGGCGATTCTCATGCAATCCAACTTCTAGTGCCAAAGTCTAAACTACACTATACATCACGAATACAATTGATGAAGAGAAGGTTTTATAGCGGCATAAACTTCATGCCAACCATTCTGCGAAGGGTTTACCATATCCCAAAAGAAAGAAACATCAGGGTTATTGCATACAATGTACTTCTTTGCACCAGTCTGATCCACACTCCCGCATGAGTATTCATTGCTCACCCCAACACAACATGGCTTTAGTGTGTTAATCTGGAATGTCGAATATCCTGCTACCCAAAAAAGAACGTGATCAAGTATAGACATATATACATGAGTAGGACCACATTTATTGACCACCACCTTATAAACATATTTAAGGAGAATCCACATGGATGGTGCCTACTATTATTAGAAAGGCGGTGAGCAAGGTGATGAGTAAATGTAAACCAAATAGCACTATCCAAAAGTAATACTAGTAGAAGGGATCAATTAGCGTTCGCGGAAAAGGGATTTATTACCTTGATGATGTTTTGGGGGCTTCAATGCGGACATAAACGCATTATAGAGATCCAAGTCGACAAATGCAGAATTCTTTGTATCCTTGTTCAACTCTTCCAACTTTTGAAGCAGAATCTGGTTATGGAACATTGAAGCCATATTGGCAAATTCATTGCAGTTTTCATATGAAAGAAAGGAAGTTATGCCGGGAAGACATCCTAGGGCCTCTATTGTTGTAACCGCTATTTTTTGCACTCCCAAATTATGTATACGCTTTAAATCCACAGTAAGCTGCTTAATAATATATTTAGTAAATATTGCCAAATCCTGTCATTTGAAGATACGACGAGTACGATCAAGTTAGTATAAAGTCTCTTCAAAATTCAATATATCATGTATGTATTTATGGACATGCCAAGAACCCCCACATAGTTCGGAAACATCTAAACCCTTCAATAATCTTGTGTTTGATTAAAGTTCCGTAGAAAATGATGGAATCTTGAATTTGAATATATGTAAAAAAGCAAACATAACTCCTCGAGAAAAATTAATAGTAGTGTACAAATACCCATCATGTTATTGTTAGATTATCGCTTGTATAAAAAAAAAACTATTAAGAGATGTTATCTCGATTTTCCAAATTCCATGATTCGTCTACTGACACTAAATTATTATTGAAATTGGTGTATAAGCTCAAGTGACATTTCTGTATTTTTTTAGCAGAAAAATTACATTACGTTAATAACTTTTTATATTAGATGTTACTTAGAAGAAATGTTAATACACAACAACAAAACAAGAACAAGCTAATAGAATTGAGGAATTATATCAAGTGCCTGAATTAATTATTTTGAAACAAAAAATTTAAATAGCAGAACACTGTACCAAAACGCACTTACGACAATAAAACCATTAGATTAACCACTTACCTTTGTGTCGTTGCCTGGTCTACCAAAATGAGCAGCGTAGTCGTTCCCCACAACTGATACGAGAGCAATGGATGAGTTAACAACGTCGTTTTTGGCATAGACTTTTTGTTGCAACAGTTGTTCGAAAAAGTCGATTTGGGTGGTCAAGTTTGGTCCACTGACCAATGTATCGAAAACACCTGTCCCTCCAAATGCAAAGTTCATCCCGGACTGTAGTTTGGATTTCTTCCCAAATTTTCTCAATGCATAAGGCACCGGAGATCTTATGCTCAAAAAGGAAGCTGCAATTTTGCAACACGTCAAAGAGGAACAAATAAAATAAAATTGGTTCGTTTTTGTTCTTAAACTTTTGTTAATCAATGCTGACTTGGGTTAAGCCAGTTGGCTAGAGCAGTGAATCCGGTCCCTTGCACTCAAGTTCGAATCCTCTTTTCCGTAAATTCAATTAATTTAGAGTAGATTTTCACTTGTATCAAAAAGATTTGGCTAAACAATAATTCAAGCAAATTAAAATTCATGCTCCCCTATAAAAAATAAAAAAAAATTATGCCAATACGATCCCAACCTAGTATTACTAACGCAATTATATTTAAATTTTCTATATCTAAATAATATATGACGAATAAATTTATGTCAAATATTTCACATGTTAGCATACTATAAAAACCAAAATTGAACTTTGCCTCCTAATTTTGCTCATTGTCGCACTTTGGTCCATGAACTTAACTACAGTTAATGGAGATAAAAATGACATTTACACCCATAAACTAACATAAATTTTTGGAAAGAGGAAAATACTCTTGAGAAAGAAAGGAAACAAACCTATATAATCAGTGAGGACACGACCGTTCGAAAACCGGCCTGCCGGCTTTCCTGGAAAAGTGATCCCATAAGGTTCCTTCCATGAAGGAGACACAGATTTTCTGATATTCCCAGTATCAACATACGAGTCCCCGAAGACGAAAAGTTTCACAGAGCCATGACTGTTGTGTTGATGAAGGTGATGATGAGCTTCAAGAACTTCTGCCACTATATATCAAAAGCAATAAAGGACAAATAAATACAATTTTATTTTGTCTAAAAAAAATATAAAGGCTGATATCAAGATATATTTAGTTATGAAGAACTAACCTGTAAAAGTGGCGATGTATAAAAGGAAGAGACAAGAAGAGGCGATGGTGGTTTGCTTCTCCATTTGAAAGCAGAGATTTTGGGTGAAAGACACTGGCGTTCTTATATATATATATGGGCATGATACAATGTAGAATGTACCCTACTTAATAGCAATAGGTTTTACAGCTTAGAAAAGGAAAATAAAAAAACGGATTTGTTTTTTGTTTGAATATTTATTAATTTTGGTGACTTTTAACAGTGTCCTTTTCATTTTCCGTTCTATAAAAGATGGAAAACATTTATGACATCCAACAATTTCGTTGCAGCACTTGGAAAGTTTTTTATGTATCTTTTCTCATTTCATATTTTCTCGACATTACTATATAATTCTATAAATAAACTTACTTCAAAGCCTAGCAAATATTGTCATTTTTTTAAATCCAATTAATTTTGCTCACTCCTTAATTATTCTGATGTAGCTTAGGGTTTGTTTGGGCTTAAATTTGGCGCGCTCAAGCCAAAAGCAGAAAGCCCGCATCATTTTATGGCCACCCGATTTTTGACACTCTCAGCCCGTCAACACACCCAGCCCGTTAACAAATAGATAGGCCGAAACAAAGAACTCGGCCCAAAACATTAGAGGCCTGGGAACAGTGGAAACCAGGAAAGAGACTTGGGCCTTGGAAGAACTAAAATTGGGCTAGAAACAAACTGAAACCAACTGGTCTTTTAAATGACACAGTCCCACGTGATCCCTGACTTGGAGAAGTCAACAAAGTCGGCTGAAATTAAAGATTGAACAGGGGCAGGTATGAAAGAAGGACGTCTCTGAGAAAAACTCAGTTGCCAGGAGATCAAACCCCGTTTTAATTATTCAAAAGATATTTCCTGTTCCAGAGAAAACACCATTTTTAAAAGATAAGCAGACTCTGCCTCTGTGAAAAGGAGATAAGCGGGAAACAGGGAGCTGTTCAAAAACTGAGAACTCACCATCTCAAAATTCAGACTCTTGCAAAAGCAGTTGAAATGGAAGAAAAGCATGGCACCCCATCAAAATACAGAGAAGTGGTCACTTCAGGGGCTAATCGTTGAGTGCTTGCTTGCCAGAAATTGGATAGAACCCCCTTCTTTTTCTTTTAAAAAATTAAAGATCTTTTGATTATTTGCCGCCCAATATTAAAAGAATCAACTCTCCCACTCAAGAACATTTCTTATATATACAAGAGAGGGTGAACAGAGCAAAGGACAATCAATCAACACAACCAAAAACTCAGTCAAAAGACAAACACTCAAAATGATCACTTGATCACAAAAACTCCAAACTAAGTCTAGCAGACTCAGAGTCTGAAGCACTTCAATTCTAAAACTTCTCAACAAGCTTGCAGAATCATCTTGCTTTCTTCCAGCAAAGACAGTTAGAACACTGCTTCCGATTTGAATCCCAGTTCACAAGTCAACAATAACGAGATTTCTCTCGTTACAAATTTGGTTCAGCAAAAGCCAAGACAAGCAGAGTTTGAGGTTTCTCAAATACGAAAACCTCAACAAATTTATGGAGAGCCCTGACTAAGCAGCACAGGTACCACAGTACACCTCCAGCTCAAGTCCAGCCACTTCTGTCCCTTTCAGACTGGAGAAGTCCCCAATTATGCCCATCCAAAAGCCTTCCAGGGCTTGAAATAGATTGAAGCTCTGCCAAACTCAAGCTTTGGTATCGATTTGCAGCCGAAGCCTAACAGTTGAAGCTGTTAAAAGTCCAGTCCAACACAGACACATCCAGTCCAGTCCAGAACAGAGGCAACTATCCAGACAGAAATGGAAGCGCAGCCCTTCTTTTGTCTTTTTATAGTCAGTTTTCCCTTTTTGAGTCCTGTAAGAGGGA